TACAAATCGAGCGTCATCAGAATACATGGCATGTTGAGAGATTGAGCTCGTGAGAGAGAATTTCTCTCTCAAATTTGAAATTTTTTGGCTCTCTGGGGACTGGTAGTAAAGCAGGTAAAACTATATGGGGAAAAATCATTTATATTTAATTGTAGCTTGTTTAGCATTAATTTCCGGAAAAAACTGAACGATAAAGTCAAGTCTTTTTCGGGTTGTTGTTAAGGGGGGGGGGGGGGGGGGAGGAAGGGTTTTACATGCATAATTTTCCAAGTCTAATTCCTCGTTGTGGGGGTCATGGTCACGCCGTTATCCACCTTTAGCCGCTGTCTTGGTCCTGTTTGCTGCAGGACCTAGTGCCACGCCGTCCGAAGCGGTAATCAGCAGAGGTAGTATTTTAGTAAAATTTACGTTTATTTTCTGGGTTTTATGTTTCAACATTTGATTTAACATTTCAATTGGTTAGCCTTTGGCTCTTCATCTTTGTTCTTGTTAATTGGTTATTCTAATGTGATGATTGCGTTTAGCGCTAATTTACAGGATACCCTTTGTGGGATTGTTTTGGTTTGAATTTAAAAATTTGATAACCTACCTACTTGAGCACCTAACTACTTAAACTAGGTTGCCAAATCACGAATGATCTGGTGGTTTGATCGCAGACAGGCGACTCTGAACCTTTCCAGCGTGGAAGTCTTTCGCTCCTCGAGTGTTTGAAGACCGGCCAGGTGGTGAATCTCAGAATTACGAGTTCGCGGTGGACTGTTAAAGATCATTCTGAGGATCTTGTTTTGGATCCTCTGAAGCTTTAAGTGGTGGCACTTTGCACAACTCTCCCAGATTGGCATACCATACTCAATAGCCGGCAGAATGATTTGCTTGTGGACAGCAAGCTTGTTTTTCAGGGACAGGGTGGACTTCCTGTTTATCAGAGGGTAGAGCGACCTGATCAAGATGTTACACTTGGTGGATGTCTTGTCCACATGGGATCGGAATAGCAATTTGCTATCGAGGGTGAGACCAAGGTAGACTACTTCACTCGACCATTCAATGGGAGTGCTATCAAGATGGATCTTGACGTTAGCAGACGGAACAAGCCGAGGTGAATACGAATGTGGAAACAGAATGGTTTGTGTTTTAGCTGCATTGATACAAATCTTCCAGCTCTTAAAATAGTCGGACAAAACATCCAGGCCTGATTGTAGTTTACTCGCCAGAGCACGGATCACTCGACCCTTATAGATGATGGAGGTGTCATCTGCGAACATTGACAGGATACCACCACCCGGCAGGGGAGGAACGTCTGACGTGAAAATGTTGAATAGGATAGGCCCAAGCAGGCTACCTTGAGGGACCCCTGCATCAACGTTGAACGTATCAGAGGAGACATTGTTCAAGTAGACCTGGAATGATCTGCCCGACAAGTAGTTTTTGATGATCTTCACGAGGTAGTTCGGTAGTTGTATCGATGCAGCTTGTACACTAGACCATCATGCCAGACATTGTCGAACGCCTTCTCGACGTCCAACAATGCCATGGCAGATGTATTGGAAACGGACTTGTTCCGCTTGATGATGTTAGTAACCCGTGCGAGTTGGTGGATGGTAGAGTGGCCTTTCCTAAACCCGAATTGCTCTTTGAGAAAGATGTTATTATCATTTGAAAACACCAGCAGACGGCTGAGTATCAATTTTTCGAATAGCTTCGAGATGGAGGACAAGAGGCTGATGGGGCGATAGCTTTTGGCACTGGTAGGGTCTTTGCCAGGTTTGTGAATTGGAATAACTTTGGATAACTTCCAGCATGCAGGGAAGTAGCCAAGCATTAAACACTTGTTGAAGACCACTGCAAGGTGCTTGAAGAAGTCAACACTCAAGTTTTTCAGCTCGTGGTTGACCACTCCATCGACACCAGCGGCCTTCATGTTCTTTGTTGATTTAATCGCTGCTATCACCTCATCAGCCGATATTCTACTTTCGTCAGGGACAACTACGGGGGTGGCAGCGACACTAGCCATTGCCTGTGATACTGCAGGCTCGTGGGGACTCACCATGGTGTGGCCAAGGTTATGTGAATTTACAAAGTGTTGTCCAAGAGCATTGGCCTTTTCAAATGGGGTTATTAGTAAAGATGGGTCCGAATTTTGGTTAGGAGAGGAAAGGGGAGGAATGGGCCTCGGCTTATTTTTCAAAATCTTTGCCATTTTCCAGAATGGCTTAGCACAATCTGGGAGAGAGCGAATCTTGTTTGCAAAATCGATATTTCTGAGATCCACCATCCTGGCTTGGATGATTTTGTTCAAACGGTTGCAGTTGGTCTTCAGGTTAGGCAGCCCAGTACGCTGGTACTGCCTACGAATCGTGTTGCGGAGTCTAATGAGGTCTTTAGTAGGCCTGTCAAGGTTCAGAGTATTACTCACCTGTCTGGATACTGGCACATGTAGCTCCCTGGCCCGGGAAATTGCTTGATAGATGGAGCGCAGACACCGGTCAACATCTTCGGACGATTCCGGTTGGACATCGTAGTCTACAGCGGAGTCGACGCAATGTTGGAACTGACCCCAGTCAACACGATGATAGTTGCGCCGGAAAGCTTCAAATCGATTTACGGAGGATCCCACCTCAGTCACCTCCGGGTAGTGGTCCGAGCTGAGTTCCTGATAGGTGATAGGTTGAGCGATGTTGTTGCCCATGTTGCTGATGAAGATATCGATGGTAGCGTGAACACCGGACCGACTCAACCGGGTGGGAGTTTCCGGACTCAAGATGTTGTACTGCGCTTCCTGCAGGTCGTTGTTCAGGATGGTGCCGTTTTGATTGCGCCGATTGTTGCCCCAAGCTTGATGTTTGGCGTTCAGGTCGCCAGCGATGATAAAGTTTTCCCGTCGTCGTGTTAGCTTGATAATATCTCGTCGCAGATCTGCTGCCGATCCGTCCCTGATGTTGACTTGTTTGGGGCAGTAAGCCGCGACGATGGTGATGGGGCCGATAGGAGTAGAAACTTCCACCCCTACGGCTTCGATGATCTTCAGCTGAAAGCTGGGCATCAGTCGACAGCAGATGTTTCTCCTTATTGCAATAGCCACTCCTCCTCCTCCAGAGTTGGTTCGATCTAGCCTCACGAGCCGGAAATCGGGAAGGTAGACGTTTGTTTCAGACTTCAGGTGGGTTTCAGTTATGATGGCAATGTCGATGTTTCGTTCATTGAGAAACTCAACAAACTCGATGTTTTTGCTCTTCAAGGAGCAAGCGTTCCAATTTACGATCTTGATGGCTTCACGGTCCATACTTAGTGACAAGGGACAGGGCAGCATGAAGCTGTTCAGATCGAGTCTTGCAGGTGCGCAAGATGATGATGACCTCGGCCACGAGCGTCACAAGTTCCTCCGAGGTGAACGGAGAATCGTCGACAGGCTCACCTGAGACAACACCAGCGTATGATAATCCAGGGGCGGTGGAGGGACCTGGCATTGGCTGGGCAGCAGCAGCAGCGAGACGATGCTGGACTGTTCGATTGTTAGGAATACTCACATGCTTGACTTGTTGGTTGTTGAGCGGAAGTGGTTCTAAGTTTGGAACATGTCGACGGGGCTGGAGAGCTGGGTACTGGACTTCCGTGCGTGCAGGAGGCGAACGATGATTACGGAGGCGACCGGGCTGATTATTGATCGTAGCCTTCCGACGGATATTGATGAACTCCACTCGCTTGGGACATCCGCGATTGGAGGCTTGGTGGTTTCCACCGCAGTTGACACACGTTGGCTCGATGTCATCATCTTGCTCACAGGACGCAGTGGAGTGAGTTCCAGCACACTTGCCGCAGATAGTCTTCATATGGCAGTTTTTGGTGCCATGGCCGTAGGAGAGGCAGTTCATACACTGCGTAACATCACGATGTTGGGATTTGTAATGTTCCCAACTGATGATGACCTGAAACAGGTCCCGGATTTTGGATCTCAGAGCCGCTAGACTGGTGGATCCCTTCGTGAAGTGCACCAGGAACAACTGGTCACGGAAGCTGGTGTTGTGGTTGGAACGCGTTGTGCTGGATTACCACCTTCTTTGAAGGGCCCGCTGCTGAATCATTGGTACGTTTACGCACCATTTGTTTCGTGTTGGCAAGTTGCAGTAAACTTGCCAGAACGCGCGAAGGTGGCGACGCTTCCACGGCGCAACGCGAGAGCACAAACCGAATCGAAGCGAGAACTCGAGCGAAAAAGAAAACGAACTGAACAGCTCAACAGTCGAGCAAAGAGTGTTCGAAATCAACCAATAACTAATAACCTTAAATTATAATCAAAAAGTGGTCTTCAGCAAAGCTGTACACATACTTTTCCGTAGATTTCTTTAGCAAAGGGCTAGAACGTTGAGAACAAAAAGTTCACTTTTCCCATAATAATTCCCATGTAAACTTCAAAGTGCAGTTTGGTTTCGCATCCAAATGAGTTCAAATTTGAAGAGAATTATCAGGACCTGATTTAGAATCGTTGAGCTTGATGGAGCAAAATGTTTTGAAGCACCTTGATGTCCAATCAATGACAAGTCACCAAATCATGTCATCATCATTGAGGCTCAATATCCAATCAGCACTTTTTATCGCTGTTACCGAGAGCATCTTTCTACTATATGACCTTCATCTAATAGGTAACAACTTTTTTCGGACAACTAATGCATTTTTCATTTTCAATCCAGCATGACCGACAATGTACAGTAAAACTTGCACACAGAAACCGTCGGTTTTTGGCCATATCAATCGGAATGGTGTAAATAAGCGAACTTTTATTGTATCACATCGACTTTCTGCTTTTTCGGTGAAATAATATAAAAATCACACCTTTTTGAAGACAATTCATCATTCGCTCAGGACCGTCTCAACCGTTGAGTTCAATCCGAAAGTCACTGGAGCGAATTAATTAAGGCATCTCAAAATATGAAGGTAAAGTAATCAAATCATCTCTTAGTGCAGTCATAAAGTGCAACTGATTCGATTTGATCAATTAATTTCAGGTGTTCGTAGTGTTGTCCATGGCTTTGGCCTTTGCTTCCTGTGTGGCAGTTGACGATTCCTCCAAGAAGGACAAACGAGGCCTCTGGAAACTGGGATACGGTCAGGATTCCCATGGATTTGAAGACCATCATCACGAAGTCAAGCACCAGATCACCACCATCACCAAGAACGTTCCAGTTCCGTATCCAGTTGAGATCGAGAAGCACGTGCCAGTTGAAGTGAATGTTCCATACCCGGTGCATGTTGAGAAGAAGGTTCCAGTCTACGTGGAAAAGAAAGTACCAGTCTATGTAGAGAAAAAGGTTCCAGTCCACGTTGACCGACCAGTCCCATACCCAGTGGAAGTCAAGGTCCCAGTTGTCCACAAGGAATACGTCGAAGTGCCAAAACCGTACGCAGTTCATGTTGAGAAGCCCGTTCCAGTGTACGTCCACAAGCCGGTTTACATCGAGAAGCACGTTCCAGTGACCGTGCACATCAAGGAGCACAAGAAGAAGCACTGGGGACTGTTCTGAGCGATGATTTGTTTGTGAGTGGATAATTGTGAATAAATGTGATTTAATAAGTACCTAATTAAATTTATGAACTAGCAACAACTCCATTTACATGGGACACATTGTATTAGGTAAATTTTATTCCTCTGTGTAATTGAAAGGTCTAATTGATAACATTTGACTAAACATTCTTGATCAGCGTACCGCACACGGTAAAAACACCCTAAATAGAGCCACTCCATAGAAACAATCATGCCACAATAAGAAAGCCGGCAATCGAGGAAACGTAAAATGAAACAAAAACCCAGGGGAGAATTGTTTAGGAAAACACAAATAAAACAAAACACAAAGCGCCGCAACTCAGGATGGCACCTTGAGGAGGAGAAATTATTAGAATATATTAGGTAACGTGCTGTACCTACTTTTCCTCGTTCGCATTGAGGCCATGCTTCTCGACTTTCTTCGGACCTTCTGATCCTCCTGTTGCATTCTGATGGCAGCAGACGACGGCGACGTGCATTTTCAACTTTCCCATTCATTCACATTTTTTTTTTGCTTCTTCAACTTGAAATTGTTTGATGCTGGTAGGAGTTTTGTGTATATTATTGAGTACAAATGAGGCAGCTGAGTCCCCGTACTTTTAATAATAGAGCTCCCTCTCACTCGTGCCGCCATCATCGTCTTCGGCACCAGCTAAGTCAGCCGGCATCGACGGGCTCAGCTGTCGATCGTGCTGTGTGTTGACTGTTCGTCTGTCTGGTGGTTCGAATCTATTGTGGATGGGCCCTTTTTGCCCTCCGAAAACATGACACGAATAAATTGAGCCAAGCGAAAGGTATTCCCTTCTCCGAATATTAATGCGTTTGTCAATTATGAGGTTCAATTGATTTATTACGATACGCGGCCACACCCCGCATGGCTCCGGTTCCTGCTGGATGCCGCGCTGGGTTGGTAGATGACTTAATCGGAATGTAATTTGCCTAGATTCGGAATTTGTGGCCGCTAATTTGATGGGATCAATTCGTGTGCAGATGCTATGGGTGATGCGTGTCTAATTTGAAGTGGATGCGGATGAAGAATTCGAATGATGATATGGTGCTACTATTATCATTTTGGAAAGTTAGACTCATCTGTATTTCGATGAGGGTGCATATTGATGTTTATTAGCTAACACACGAATATCTAATTAAAATTAGCATGCGAGGAAGATCGTTGCCTACAACGGCAACTGAACATAATAATTTGAATCGATGTGTAAGAACATCAAACAACAATCTTTGGTGCACTCTGATTAGCAGTTCGGCGAAATTTTTTTTCCAAAGTTATTAGTATTCCATCATATACTGAGGCAGTCAAAAGAAAAAGGTAAACATTCTTTATAAGGTGCCATCGAGATCATCAGAATGAACAATACACGGGATGAGAAAGAGGCGATGTACAAAAACGGATGCATCCATCGTGTTATGCTACGCTATGCGCTTTCTTTAAGTACCGTAAAACGGGGGCAACATGGTCACAAGGGTAAAATTGATCGGATTGCGTTTTTAAATCATACGTAGAAAATTTTCGCTAGGAGAAATCTTTATTGCAATTAATTATGAGACTTAATTTTGATTTATTTGCATGAACTTCAGTCTTATTTAACTGACGAGCATTTAAACAAACTGTCATAGGGTTGCAACGATTGTTTTCATTAACTTAAAGTGGATTTTTTCACGGAACTAATAGTCAATGAATCTGAAATATTTAAAGAAAAATGGTTTTATGGTTTAGAAACAGATTTCAATATTGGGAAATCAATGGTTATCTGTGGAATTTACAGGTATATTTTTGCAATTTCCGGCGCAACTGTGCATTGTGAGAATTAATCATTTTGTTTTGCTTCTGCATTCTTGTTCTATCAGATGTCACTGCTGTTGTTTGTGGTGACATTTATCGGAAACTACACACAATCTGTTTTCCTATAATTATTCACAGAGGATACTGCAATGCAAAACATGTCTGGTACCTCTTTATATGCATTTAGATTATTATTCGAAGTCCCTCCTTTTTTACACATTCTGCACACAAAATAGCTCACCCCTCACAGAACACATCTTGACAGAGGACCACCAACTATCGACGGAGGACATCACGATTCTACGAACAGTATCTACACCATGAAAACTGGATGTTGCAGAGAGACTCGAGATCAGCAAACAACGGAATTCAACTTTACTCAACAGGGATCAAGGAAACGGACACACATGGCTTTTCAAGTTACTACCTAGGACACATCAACGAGGAAGCAGTGGAGTACCTTCTCCTACAGAAAATAAAATTTAAGTTTACTTAGCTTTTAAGTGAAAAAGTACCTGTGTTAATATACATTCGGTAAAATGCGATGTTTTTCTTCAGTCGAGTATTAGTACAAGACACTGAAGAAGTCTGCACATTTTAGACGAAATACGCGTATCTGTCAAGGATAAGCAAATAAGGCAGTGGAATTAAATGGAAATTACTAATCTCTCTCTCTCTCTCTTTATACAAGTATTCCACTAAGACGTTCACATTTATCAGGATTCAAAAATGTACTAAAAATAATCATGCAGAATCGGTGTTCCCCCATGTTTGTCTTTTTCATACGAGTGTCACCTAGAGATCAAGAGCACATTGCTCTTCAAACCTTGTGTTCACAATCCCTACCCTGCCATCCATTTGTTGCAATTTGTTACCCCTAACCTCGAGATAGCGGCCCCCAATTTACTAACGTTTGTTTTAAGAAATTTTGTTACCTAAAAAATTAATATCGGCTCCGCAAACCTACAGCAAATGAGCCTGGAGAAATAAATGAATTATTGAAAAAAAAAAAATCATGCAGAACTTCTACTCGAAATACCATTAGTTTATTAATTTCGTTTAATGTAAAAGTTTGTTTACATTACAAAGTGATCAATTTTCCCCCCGCATTACGGTACGCTGCTCACTATACTTAGATACATTGGACTGCCTCGGTTTCCAGCACTCTCTAATGCAGCCTATATTTGTTGTTGGCAGTGAGAATCGTGGCGTTTATGCTCGATTGGCCGGTAACAATAAGAGCACAGTACCAGCCAACAACGGCCGTGGAGTCAACCGGAATCGTCATCAACGCCGACAACGACTACCGGCAATGTGATGGCGGAAGGTCCTCTCATGTATCGTCGTGACCGGTCGAGAGGAGTTTTGTGTTTATTTTTTATTTTTTTATTTGTAGGTGCTAGAACGTTCACAGTGGGTGAAATGTATTGAAAGTGACGAAAAGATTGCTGTCAATAGGATTGGACCAACGGTCGCTTGATTGTTTAGAAAATGCAAGTGAAATTTCATCACCAATATGAATAAATGGACAATAACTAAGAAGCAAGTTAAATTCTCACAATATACTCGAGCCATCTGGGGAATGTAAGATTTTTTTGCATTTTTGAATAAAATATGGCCTAAATCTTTAAGGAATCCTGACAAATATAGATTCTGTAATGTGGTTGTAGGAAGGCTTACCAAATAATTAATGAATCTTAGCTAATTTTTTGGAGTATTTTTTATCCCCAAAATCAAAATACCTATAACAAAAAGCTGCTGAAATAACTATCATTACATTTCTCCTCCTTTGATCCTATCCATAGACAATGTACTCCTCTTATCTCGGGTAAGCTGCGAGTGTTTGGCCCAACTCCGACAAGACATATAGCGAAATTGTTTATTATCGGGGTTAACACCAGTTCCAACCCAGTGCGAAACCGAACTTTTTGTCAGTGTGAACCTAAACCTGAGCTAGGTTTTAAAAACAAGCGAGCAAACTGACGTTTGTCAGAAAACAAGCAGACCCAATCTTGATACCCGATCCAGATTGGTACTGAATAATAAACGAATTCGCTAATAGAAATAAGTGAATTTTGTTACAAACAATGAACAATGAATTATTTACTCTGAAAAGCTAACGCAACTGTGTCTTCCAAATAAACGAAATACATTAAATAAAAATATGTACAATTTTTTAAAACTTTGTAGAAATTTTGAAAAACTTTAAGAAATTTGACAAATTGGGGGGTATTTCGATGCAGCTCAGGAATTTTATTTTACTTCAGGACTTCGAAGAACTTCAGGCACTTTATAGATGTTCAGGTAACTTTGCAGAAATTCTGAGAACTTTATTTGAGCTACAGAGAACTTCGTGGAAATTAAGGGAACTTTGTAAAAGTTGGGAAAAATTTGTGGAACCTGGAACTTTGTACAAGTCTGGGAAAATTCAAATATGTTAAGGGAACTTTTTTTGTTACAGGGATTTTTGGAAAAGATTGGAGGTCTTCTTTTAACTTCATGCAACATCGTTGAAGTTTAATGGACTTGGAATAGGTTAGGGAATGCCGTGGCAATTCAGAAACATCGCAGAATTTCAAGAAACTTCGCTGAAAAATCAGAAATTCGTGATACTTCGTGAAAGAAACTTCATAGAAGTGCAGGGAATTTTGTAACAATTCAGAGAACCTCTAAGAAATTCGGTAAACTTTGTTAAAGCTCTGTAAATTTGGTAGAAGTTCAAGGAACTCCATTGAAGTTCAGGAAATTTTGTAAAAGATTAGAAAACTTATTAGTAACTCAGGGCCTTTTGTATCAGTTTAGGGAACTTCGTAGCAGTTTGTCAGAGAACTTACTTTAAAATAATTTAATAAACTTCCTGGAAGATTTGGTAATTTCAATAAATTTCAAGGAACTGTTCAGCTGATCAGAAGTTTTCGTAGAAATCGTTCAGTGTCATCCCAGAAGTTCGAAGAAGTTAAGAGATATTCTGATATCATGCTAAAATTAAAACTATTGGAACTCAGAATAAGCTCAAAGGATTGGTAGGAATTAAAAAAGATCGTTTGCGTTAAAGAAACTTTATAGGCGTTATGGGAACCTGGGAATTGATGTGTGTTGTGAATAGCTTTTCAGTCTCGACAAAATCAAAATACTGCTATTTAATTTTTTGTCCACCGTTTTGGTCCGTTTAAGACCTTCTACAGGGACTCTAAAATTGT